TGTCGACAGGTTATGTCGACAGGTTATGTCAATCTCAAAGGTTTTAAATGCCCAGACTCATCTGACCTTGCCCCAACAATCAGCACGATGGATTCTTCTAAGCAGTTGTCTAGAAAACTGAAACTGAAAATAGTTGACGCTCACAAAGCTGGAGAAGGCTATAAGAAGATAGCAAAGCGTTTTCAGATGTCAATATCCTCTGTTCGGAATGTAATTAAGAAATTGCAGTCATCAGGAACAGTGGAAGTTAAAGCAAGATCTGGAAGACCAAGAAAAATATCAGACAGAACAGCTCGCAGGATTGTGAGAAAAACAATTCAAAACCCACGTTTGACTGCACGATCCCTCCAGAAAGATCTGGCAGACACTGAAGTGGTGGTACACTATTCCACTATAAAGAGATACTTGTACAAATATGGTCTTCATGGAAGAGTCATCAGAAGAAAACCTCTTCTACGTCCTCACCACAAAAATCATCGTTTGAACTTTGCAAATGAACATATAGACAAGCCTGATGCATTTTGGAAACAAGTTCTGTGGACCGATGAGGTTAAAATTGAACTTTTTGGCGGAATGAGCAAAGGTACGTTTGGAGAAGAAGGGGCACAGAATTTAATGAAAAGAACCTCTGTCCAACTGTTAAGCATGGGGTTGGATCAATCATGCTTTGGGGTTGTGTTGCAGCCAGTGGCACAGGGAACATCTCACGAGTAGAAGGAAAAATGGATTCAATAAAATTTCAGCAAATTTTGGATGGTAACTTGATGCCATCTGTGAAAAAGCTGAAGTTAAAGAGAGGATGGCTTCTACAAATGGATAATGATCCTAAACACACCTCGAAATCCACGGGGGATTACATCAAGAGGCGTAAACTGAAGGTTTTGCCATGGCCTTCACAATCTCCTGACCTCAACATAATTGAAAATCTATGGCTAGACCTTAAAAGAGCAGTGCGTGACAGACAGCTCAGAAATCTCAAAGAACTGGAAGACTTTTGTAAGGAAGAATGGGCAAAGATACCTCAAACAAGAATTGAAAGACTCTTGGCTGGCTACAAAAAGCGTTTACAAGCTGTGATACTTGCCAAAGGGGTCAGTACAAGATATTAACTCTGCAGGGTGCCCAAACTTTTGCAGACGCCATTTTTTTGTTTTCTGTTATTTTGAAAGTGTAAATCATGGAAATAAAATCCAACTTTTGTTGACATATTATAAGAATGTCTAATCTGTAATTTGATGCCTTTTGGAGATTTTTCCATCTTTCCTTGGCTTCTTTATGCACATTAATACAAATTTTTAGCTGGGGTGCCCAAACTTTCGATCCCCACTGTATATATATATATATATATATATATATATATATATATATATACACATACATACATACATATAAATATATTTTTTTCCTCCAGATTGGTGTCCAAAGAATCTGTTGTGGAACAAAGCCTTTACTCCCAATGTCCAGGTCTTGCTGGAGATCAGCAGGGTGTGTGTGCAGGTGTTCACAGCCCTTATAATCAAAGGCTTGACGGCAGGTCAGGGCTTCTTTTAAGAGACAGGTGTGCTCCACTCAAGAGACAGTACTCCATGCTGGAAAGGAAAGATTCTGTGTTCATATGACTAAGACATTCGAGACAGCTAAGTGAGTCTGGAGGACTACTAAGACAGTCGAGACAACTAGGCAAGTCCAGGGGGACTGAGGGAATCATGGGAGTGAGAGAGCCTGAGGTGTCAGGAGATTGCCTACCAAGAGGCCAGAGACTGCAATAGGGTACTGCAGCTGAAAAGGTTGAGAGAGCTAGGAGAGCTAGGAGAGCTGGGAAAGTTGAATAAACACAATGCTTGATGATTGTCTCACAGTTCCCTGTTGGGAAGCTTCCGGATACATCTTTGTATGGAAGGCACTCAGATGGGCTGTCAGAGAAATTTAGGTGGTGAAACACATGTCAGAAATGTCTCCAACCAATGGTGTGGTGGAAAGTATTTATGCTGGTGCAGTCCGAGGAGTGGATAAGCAGTTATTGGTGAAGGACATGCATACTGCATCAGTTGCCAGACCTCATGAGATGGAAGGGCTCAGAAATGACACAGCAGTGGCCGAGATTCTGTCTGTCACAAAGAGGTATGGGTTAAGGTACCAGGAGACTCTGAAAAAGAGAGTACTGACAGTATTGGTGACTGTGACAGTGAAAAGTGTAATCCATAACTGAACGTTACTGGAAATGATGATTTGGCTGCCAAGGGTAACAGCAAAAGAGTTGGTGTACCTATAAGTCAAACTATGGTGGTTAAATCTGATACAAATGATGGGAAGGGTGGTTCTTCCTCAGGTACAGTATCAGAAGTAGGTTCCCTACAACCCCAAGACAATGAATTTGAAAGAAGTGTTGGGAAAGCCATAATGTACCTGGGAAGCATGAATGAGCCCCGGAACCCAAGGAAGAAAGGGTGAAGGTTCAGTGAAGAGGCCAGTGGGACCCTGTTTAGATTGAGGAAGCAAAAGGATTGAACCCATGTGGCTGAAAGCTGGCACAGAGATGAGAGAGCTAGGAGAGTTAAGAAAGTTGAATAAACACTTGTACTGTGTCAAGTGGTCTTAAGGACCAGACGCCAAACATCAAGGTTTGGTGCCTAAGAAGTGGCACTGCTGAAGAGAAAGCTAGGTGGCTCTGTATTATTTTCATTACCTGCTTTTAACTGTGAAAATCCTCTGCACGGGAAACTGTTTTTGTTGAACTTTTATTTTGAGCCCTCTGAAGATGTGTGTGTATCACACAGGGCTCAGGAATGCATATTGTGCAGTGCTCAGGAGTGTGTATTACACAGGATGCAGGAATCAGGAGAGCATATCACACGGGGTGCAGGACTCAGAAGTGTATATTGTACAGAGCACATAGTTCAGAAGTGCATATCACACCAAGGCACAGGGCTCAGGACTACGTATCACACAGGGCACTGGACTCAGTAGTGCATATTGTGCATGAGACCTTCTTGACATTGCCCCTCCTCACCTTACGGACAGCCTCTGAAGGTCCACTTGAATTCTCTTCTCAGGGTAAGCAGCAATAAAAGACTTGCATTAATTCAGGTACATGCACATCATCCTCCTTTCTTCAGGAAGTTTCTCATGGGTCAAAGTCCTTCCAATTTAATTAAGTATTGGGTGCATCCCCTGTTCTGCAGTAGATGATGGTCCCAACTTAATTTTCCTAAGAACCATCTATCACAACCGGGACTGGAGGTCAGGAAAAGAATCTGGCACAACAGGTTTTAGCAAAGATTTGTGAAAAAAGGGAGTACATTATAAGAGTCAGAAAAACAGAGTTCATATGCAGAATTTTATTTGTTTATTTGAGATGAAGTTCAAAGTCCAGATTATGATTACAAAGAATTCAGACCATGGACTTTGAATGTGCAGTTTTGTTTTGCTGTCATTTATTAAGGTTCTTGCAGTAAGTCCAAGGGAGCTTAGACCTCTGCAGTGTATTAATGTGCCTTTACTAAATAAAAAATGCTGTAGATATAAACTACTACAATTATAGGAAAAACAGGACAAAAATGACAAAAATGACAGATTTACATACAACAAGCAAGTTGCTATCTATGTCCTTGCAAATAGGCAGAAACTATGTTCTGTATACAATAGAAATATGGTGAAAAGTTACTTAGCTCAGGTTAGAGCAGGGTCACAATCTCCATAGGGATTGAGGACCCCTGGCTTACTCTACAAGTGGTTGCAGGAGATCGGGCAAAAGTGTCTTCAGGTTAAAGCACACTCACCCTGTCAAAAAATAAAAGTCAACAGCTACAAAAACTGTAGCTGCTGACTTAAAAAACAGCCATTTACCTGTCCCTCGGTCCCGCAGTGTGGTGCCCGCAGCCCGTATTCCAGGAGGCTAGCATCTTCAATGTGGGCAACCGGCTGTGACAGCATGCGCCAGTAGCGCTGCGCTTCATGAATGGTCCTGTAGTCTTCTGGGACCTGTCACGTGTCCCAAAAGATTACAGGGATCAGACCGGAAGTGGGAGCGTGTACCTGTCAAATTCGGGTACCCGCTCCTCCCTGCCCACCAAAGGTGCCAATCCTTAATGGGGAGCGGGGGAGCAGTCCTTAAATCGGAACTTCCCCTTTTGGGTGGAGCTCCGCTTTAAGTTCTTATGGTTGAGATCCTCCATGGTGTTTTGCTCATCATGGAGTATACAATATACTATATATATATATATATATATATATATATATATATATATGCACTATATTGCCAAAAGTATTGGGACACCTGCCTTTAAACGCACATGAACTTTAATTGCATCCCAGTCTTAGTCCGTAGGGTTCAAAATTGAGTTGGCCCACCCATTTCTGCTATAACAGTTTCAACTCTTCTGGGAAGGCTGTCCACAAGGTTTATGAGTTTGTATATGGGTATGTTTGACCATTCTTCCAGAAGTGCATTTGTGAGGTCAAGTACTGATGATGGACGAGAAAGCCTGGCTCACAGTCTCTGCTCTAATTCATCCGAAAGGTATTCTATCAGGTTGATGTCAGGACTCTGCAGGCCGGTCAAGTTCCTCCACCCCAAACTTGCTCATCCATGTCTTTATGGATCTTTCTTTGTGCACTGGGGTGCAGTCATGTTGGAACAGGAAGGGGCCATCCCCAAACTGTTCCCACAAAGTTGGGAGCATGAAATTGTCCAAAAATGTCTTTGTCTGCCGATGCCTTAAGAGTTCCCTTCACTGGAACTAAGGGGCCAAGCCCAACTCCTGAAAAACAACCCCACACCATAACCCACCCTCCACCAAACTTTACACTAGGCACAATGCAGTCAATCAAGTACTGTTCTCCTGGCAACCACCAAACCCAGACCTTGTCCATCGGATATGCCAGACAGAGAAGAGTGCTTTATCACTTTAGAGAACATGTTTCCACTGCTCTAGAGTCCAGTGGCAGCGTGCTTTACACCACTGCATCTGACGCATTGCATTGCACTTGGTGATATAAGGCTTGGATGCAGCTGCTTGGCCATGGAAAGCCATTCCACAAAGCTCTCTGTACATGGTTGTTTTGCTAATCTGAAGGCCACGTGAAGTTTGGAAGTCTTTAGCTATTGACTATGCAGACAGCTGTCGACGTCTGTGTACTGTGTGTTTCAGCATGTGCTGACCTCGTTCTGTCATTTTACGTGGCCTACCACTTCGTGGCTGAGTTGCTGTTGCTCCCAGTTGCTTCCATTGTGTTACAATACCACTAACAGTTGACTGTGGAATATTTAGTAGCAAGGAAATTTCATGAATGGACTTATTGCACAGGTGGCAACTTATCACTGAACCATTATTGAATTCACTGAGCTTTTGAGAGTGACCCATTCTTTCACAAATGTTTGTAGAAGCTGTCTGCATGCCTAGGTGCTTGATTTTATACACCTGTGGCCATGGAGGTGATTGAAACACCTGAATGCAATGATTTGGAGGGGTGTTCCAATACATTTGGCAATATAGTGTATATTATTGAAAACGCAACACAAGGACTCCCCCCAAAACCTGTGGTAGCTCTGAGTAAAAGGGCTTGTCCCTAGAAATGTGTAAGCCATTTTGGATTCTGAAAGGCCTTCCCATGTCAATAGTTGAGTGCTGTGGACCTTGAATTTCATGATACGCTAATTTATTTCATGCTTTTGTGAGTATATCACTTGCTTTATTTATTCTAAAAATTGTGTAATGTTAATGCACTAGGTTGGTGTGCCCCCTCTTTGTTGTTTTTTTAATGTATATGGTTGCATTGAACCAGAACCACATACCTAATGATAATATGGCACTGTAGTGGTAGATGATTTTGTGATACTGATCTGTTATATAATAATATGGTAATTAGCTGATATAAGATGATGTGACACTTAAAGTGATTGAAAAGCATTGTATACTGCTCTTTGCAATAGTTTTGCACAGGTCAACCCTGATCCTCCCCTATTGGGGTCCCCTGCTGACACTCCTGGCTCCCCCCATTTGAGTGCCCCATAGCACCCTATGGGTGCACTTGTGCAGGCTTGATCCCCCTCTGCTCTCAGCCAAGCCTGTGAGACAGGGGAGAAGGGAAAAGAGCTGCTGACAATGTTCACAACACTTGATCGAAATCGACTCAGGTAAGTATTTAGAGGGGCTAGGGGGTGTGCTATTCATAAAAGGATTTTTATCTTAAGGCAGAGAATGCATTAAGGAAAAAAAACCTTTTACTGTTACAACCACTTTAACTGATCCAACAATGTGACAGTCAGCTGGTATCTAATAGTGTTGCAATAGTCCTATGATAGAGTAACAATAAATACAGTGTGTACATAAGAATGTGGCAATAAAATGGCACTAAATTGTTATGCTGTAATGTGGAATGAAACTAGTATATAATAATCCTCTAAAAAGTTGGCAAATAATAATATGTCAACAAGCTGGAATATACAGTAAAAACCTGGCACTGAGATAATATAATAATGTGACTGGGCTGTTGACAGATTTCAAATATTTACCAGGTGATGCAGAGATTTGTCCATCACCATTTAGGAGTAACATATACTAATCTCCTAAACTCTTGTCAGGAAATATCTGATAATTCAGACCAGCCGCTGTCTGCAGTGGAGGTTTTTTATCTAATTTCTCTACCTAAAGCATGTAAACAATGACAGTCAATATTTGGTCAGTTTGGAGAACAGATATAAATGCTCATGCTCTATCCAGCAAAAAATAATAACATTTAATTTATTGATGCCAGAGTTTTTTTTTTAAAAGGAGAAAGGGAAAAAGCCTTACAATTGCTTGTATCTCAAGCTTTTGCCATTCCAACTACTCAGGACATCATAGAAAAAAAGCTGTGTGTGTAATACTGCGTGTGTATATATATATATTTATATATATATATGTATAAAAGACACACTCACTTTTATGTATAAATGTAAACAAACATTTTAAAATGTATTAAAGAGTAACTCTGCTTTTGTTGAGGAAAAAACACTCCCCTCTGGGTGATATATGTACAGTACATTGCAAAGATTTCAACAAACTCTTTAGCAGAATACTACCTTTGGTTATTCTAAAGAAATAGCTGTTTGTTTGTGTCCATGTGCAGAGTGAATCTGTATGGGAGAAGCTTTATAATCATCAGTAAGCTGTTGCACCTGCAGGGCTCTAATGAGAAAAATTGCAGCGTTTGTAACCCTTTAGTCGTGTATTCCTTTGAGAGTATCGCACCAAAATGAATATTTCTGTTACAGGGGATGCCCAAAATCTGGCTGGCTTGTATCTTAGTGCAGATTTCTGGGATCAATGAGCCAATCACACAAGCAGAAAATGACATTTCCGGGGGGGGGGGGGCATTCTGTACACCATCTGTGTACAGAACACCTCCAGGTAGCCATTTGCACTGTGTTTTACAGAAAATTACAGAGCTGCAGGAAAAGGAAAGGTAACATGCAATTACAATATGACTTGTGTCACAATTGTATACACTATATTGTTTTATTTTATTTATTATTTTTCCCCATGAAACTGAAGTTACCTTTTAAACATTTTTTAATTAAATAAACACTTATCAATGTAAAAAAACACTTGTATTTTTTTTTAGTTATTCAAACATTTAATTGACCCCTTAGTAATGGGGGGTAAATTAAATCTTATTTCCTTAACATAATTTTGCAACTTTGGTATGTGTTAGTAAAACAGTACATACTGTATTATTGCAATTACTTTATGTATCTAGGGGCTTTCATTTGGTGGTAAATTGTAACAAATATTTCCTGATTTTTTTGCAATATTATTTATTGTAACAAATATCTCTTGATTTTTTTTTTAATTGTTATTATCAATAGGAAAAATGGCCCAAAACAGTTAAAAAATTTTTTCCTAACATTTAGCGTTATATTTCCTGGTATTACCAGAACTTCCAATGAAAAAAAAATCTAAAATAAATTCTGCTCCTGGTGATTGCAGGGATAATATATATACAGTGGGGATCGAAAGTTTGGGCACCCCAGCTAAAAATTTGTATTAATGTGCATAAAGAAGCCAAGGAAAGATGGAAAAATCTCCAAAAGGCATCAAATTACAGATTAGACATTCTTATAATATGTCAACAAAAGTTAGATTTTATTTCCATCATTTACACTTTCAAAATAACAGAAAACAAAAAAAATGGCGTCTGCAAAAGTTTGGGCACCCTGCAGAGTTAATATCTTGTACTGCCCCCTTTGGCAAGTATCACAGCTTGTAACCACTTTTTGTAGCCAGCCAAGAGTCTTTCAATTCTTGTTTGAGGTATCTTTGCCCATTCTTCCTTACAAAAGTCTTCCAGTTCTTTGAGATTTCTGGGCTGTCTGTCACGCACTGCTCTTTTAAGGTCTATCCATAGATTTTCAATTATGTTGAGGTCAGGAGATTGTGAAGGCCATGGCAAAACCTTCAGTTTACGCCTCTTGATGTAATCCCCCGTGGATTTTCGAGGTGTGTTTAGGATCATTATCCATTTGTAGAAGCCATCCTCTCTTTAACTTCAGCTTTTTCACAGATGGCATCAAGTTACCATCCAAAATTTGCTGAAATTTTATTGAATCCATTTTTCCTTCTACTCGTGAGATGTTCCCTGTGCCACTGGCTGCTACACAACCCCAAAGCATGATTGATCCAACCCCATGCTTAACAGTTGGACAGAGGTTCTTTTCATTAAATTCTGTGCCCCTTCTTCTCCAAACGTACCTTTGCTCATTCCGGCCAAAAAGTTCAATTTTAACCTCATCGGTCCACAGAACTTGTTTCCAAAATGCATCAGGCTTGTCTATATGTTCATTTGCAAAGTTCAAACCATGATTTTTGTGGTGAGGACGTAGAAGAGGTTTTTGTCTTATGACTCTTCCATGAAGACCATATTTGTACAAGTATCTCTTTATAGTGGAATAGTGTACCACAACTCCAGTGTCTGCCAGATCTTTCTGGAGGGATCGTGCAGTCAAACGTGGGTTTTGAATTGTTTTTCTCACAATCCTGCGAGCTGTTCTGTCTGATATTTTTCTTGGTCTTCCAGATCTTGCTTTAACTTCCACTGTTCCTGATGACTGCCATTTCTTAATTACATTCCGAACAGAGGATATTGACATCTGAAAACGTTTTGCTATCTTCTTATAGCCTTCTCCAGCTTTGTGAGCGTCAACTATTTTCAGTTTCAGTTTTCTAGACAACTGCTTAGAAGAACACATGGTGCTGATTGTTGGGGCAAGGTCAGATGAGTCTGGGCATTTAAAACCTTTGAGATTGACATAACCTGGTCTTCCCAGACGATGATTGAGAACAATCCATGACACTGGCAGGTCTCAGCTTGGCAAAGGGGGCAGTGCATGCTATAAATTCTGCAGGGTGCCCAAACTGTTGCAGACGCCATTTTTTTATTTTCTGTTATTTTGAAAGTGTAAATGATGGAAATAAAATCTAACTTTTGTTGACATATTATAAGAATGTCTAATCTGTAATGTGATGCCTTTTGGAGATTTTTCCATCTTTCCTTGGCTTCTTTATGCACAGTAATACAAATTTTTAGCTGGGGTGCCCAAACTTTCGACCCCCACTATATATATATATATATATATATATATATATATATATATACTGTATATATGTTATTTGTTGTTTGTGTCTGTAGTATGGTCCAGAAACAATGGTGTGCATTTTGCTTTTTCTATCCTACCTAAAACACACTGACACTAACTGACACTGATACTAATTTAAAAACATGCTTTTTAAAAATATAATACTGACCCTGACCTTTGACCCTAACACCCTGGCACTGACCTAGATCAATCCTTGATCTAGCTATTGTTATACATTTTTATTTTTTTATTTTATTACTTTTTTTTACAGACTTTTGTTTTCTTACATACTTTTCTTCTGCAAGGATAGAAAGGTACAATGTATCTTTCTGTCCATTTAGAAGAGAATAAACACACATAGGCAGGCTGCAAAGTGACTAATCATTGTGATAGCCAATCAGAGGCTCTCAGGGACAGCCTGGTCTCTGCACAAAATGCTCCCAGCACAAACAAAGGAGATAGTGCTAATGCGCAGGGGGTGATTAGGGTGTGCCCAGGTACGACATACATAATAAGCTATGTGGCAGTGTCAGATTACTGAAAGCTTCATATTAGGAGACATCAGTGATCATAATACAAATGATGGTACAGTATCTGCTGAGCTTTTCCTATCACTAATACATCCAAAATAAACTAGAGGTCCCCCTGGGTTCAAATAAAGAGTAATGCTTCAGGCAACTAAATAACTGGTAAGAACCCAGCAGTTATCATAATAATTTCTTCCATTTTAATATTTACATAATTGACATTATAATAAATATAACATATTAGAATGTACAT